CAGACGGGACTCGAACCCGCACCCTTCGCAATCCGGGCGAATGCACTGACAATGTAAAAGTATTCATTTGACATTGTGGGTTACCTATAATGCGAAGAGATAGCGCTGCATTGCAGCTTAAGAGTGGCTAGAAGAATTTCGACGCGGTCCGTGAGGGCCGCGGTAGCATAATTGGTCAGTGCATTCGCCCGGATTGCGAAGGGTGCGGGTTCGAGTCCCGTCTGCTGCCTGGTCCGCGTGGAATTTTTTCTAGTTATATTTTCTTTAGATTTAAACATCAAGCAGTTACATGCTTTAAAATAATAAAAATTATTACCTGAGATACTTTATTAGCTAATTCAGACAACGATTTTTGTTACACTAGAGGTCGCCCGCGACTTTGTCTGCGTTAACTAAGTTTCTTGAAAATGCCTCTGGAACCTAACATTTTTCGGGATAAAAGCAGCCTATGTGTTAATCTAGGGTGTCAGCTAACTCCATACCAAATTTTATTAAAATCGCTCCAGCCTTTTAGACGTGAAGAAGTAACAAACATACACACTCACATACTCACAAACTTTCGCTTTTATAATATTAGTGTGAAGTGTGATTCCCGAAAAACAATATATTTTCCTATAATATTTTTTTTTGAAACATGTGTCCACATTATTGACTCATAATAATGACTATAAATTGACCTAATTGACAAAACAAAAAGATGTTGATGGTGATTGTCATGGAAGCGTGAGGGTGAAAAGGAAACAAGATTGGTCTTCTATATTGAAAAAGTTTTATTGAGCACCCACAATGTCAACCATTAACGGATTTTGTAAGGGGAATAAATGTGGCCACAGTGCACATTATAATTATGACTATAGACATACAAGTCAGTTCAGAAACTTAATTTATATGTCGTTTTTTCTAACATTAACAGGTATACTATTTTAATAAAAAAAAATAAAAGAATTGATCGTTAAATTATTCTAAATAATGTACCGAAAAAGATAGAATCTGTAGTAATTAAAAAATTAAATAACTATTATTTATTGAATCCTCATATTGATCCGATATGTTTAAAGGAGATACTTACGGGATGAAAATACATTTCAAAACATAATTATTAAAAGAATATTATTTATTATTTCTAAAAAGGGTTACATCACCAGCCACCACCACTGCTGGGGCACAGGCCACAGATTGGGCCATGACCCACCACGTGGGTCGAGTGCGGATTGGTGGGTGCTAACGACTGCAGATGCAGCCGGGACCAACGGCTTATCGTGCATTCCGAGTCACGGAGGTAAAAAGTGTATTTATTGCTTATTATTATGAACTGATAGACACCCCAGCAAAACTTTTGAGAAACGGCCAAAGACAAGAAAGTAGTAATTTAAAATACAAAAACGTCTACTGCGTAATTTTGTCTATAGTTTTGCTCAATTATTTTGCCACTACCTACATTACAGTTTGTTGAAAGAAAAGTTGTTTACATAAATGTAAGTACATACCTAGTAATGATCTATAGCTGACGATATTTATCGTTGTATTTAGCAAACAACATAATGGTAATTAGTAAATTTTTTGAGATGTTAAACATGGTACAGTCAGCCACATTTCAAGTTACCTGTTGCTGTCACATTCAGTCAGTCACATTTTCAAATTGCCTTTGAATTAGACTGCATTTATGATAAGCCACACCATCTTTATAACAATAGACTACCACACAGAAGTTTGTCGAACTCATGCAACATACAAAAAACTCATAAATCTGTTTCATATTTAATAAATATTTTTTCCGTGACGTAAATTGTATCGAAAACTGTCAAAGTGTCATTCTAAGACAGCCTCACAATTATGACACTTGAGATGCTAGTGGGAATCTTTGCATTTCCAATATGCAACAAGTAACAGCATATTCGCTCACTAAAAACAGCGCTCAGAAGTGTTGAGATCTTCTGCTGTATGTCTTGGATATTTTTGACGTGACAACGTCTTACAAATTGATGAACACCGGCTGCACACACGAAAGTGTGACGTCATGTCACGAGTCACGCTAAGTGCTTTCACGTCACGTTAGTTCAACGTTCCGCGGTGTCTGTGTGGTGAGGTCGAGGGGTTCCTTCGCCGGATCCTGCCATTCCTGATCCCTCCCTTTCCCCCCTCCACGAGAATCCAATTTCTTTCGCTAGGGGCGGCATCGATTTATTGTCCAGCGAACATTTGCAATTGTTGCAAGCCATTTCATATTCCTCTCTGCACAGCCGTCGATTCTCTTTGATGTACCATTCCGAGATCACCTCCAGCTGCACCGCAGTGATGGGTTCGAGGTCGTTCTTGAAGCACAGTCTGTCGCAAACCGAACAAGCGTGACCAAAATCGTTGCCTGGTTGAACTGCGATTTGTGGCGGTTCTGTAGCTGCAGTTTGACGCTGAGTCCCAGTTCGGACGTCGCTTGACTTTGCCCCAGAACGAGAGGAGGGCGCAGTAGCCGATTCTGATGACCCACTGACAAGAGTCGAGTTATCATCTTTGCGTAGTCTGAACTTGCGCTGTCTTTCGGCGGCCGATTTCCTCGCAGCCAACACCTGTTCAGGAGTTCTGGATGCCGCTACACGCTGTCTGTACTCGCGTTGTATCTGTGCCCTCGATTTTTTGTTCAGCGAACGTTTGCATGTGATGCAAACCATTTCATATTCTTCTGTGCACAGTCTTGGATTTTCTTTGATGGACCATTCCGAGGTTACTTGGAGCTGTGCCGCAGTAATATGTTCGAGGTCTTTCTTGTAGCACAGTCTGTCGCAAAACGAACAAGCGCCGAAATCGTTGCCCAGACAAGTTGATTTGTACGAGGATGCCCGTTTAGTATTCCAGGTAAACTGTGCCTGTTGTACTTCAATATGAGCAGAAGTACCTGGTTGAGCAGTGATTTGTGCTGGTTCCGCTGCTGAAGTTCGAAGTTGTTGGTTTGTGAGCTGCTGTTGAGCACCAGTTTGGACGTAATTTGACTTTTGCCGTTGTCTGCACTTGCGCTGTCTTTCGGCATCCGATTTCCTCGCAGCCAACACCTGTTCAGGAGTTCTGGATTCCGCTTTGCGCTGTCTGTACTCACGTTGTATCTGTGCATTGGATTTAAGAGCCAGGTCGACTTTGCGCAGTCTGCATTTGCGCTGTCTTTCTGCATCCGCTTTCCTCGCTGCTAATAACTGTTCAGGTGTTCTGGTCAATGCTATACGTTGTCTGTACTCACGGTGTGTCTGTGCATTCGATTTTGGAGCAGCGGTAGTGAGTAAATAACTCATTGAAGGTAGTTGCAGATCCGTGATAGGTGTGGTTTCCATAGGTTCATCAGGTTGGTCAGCCATAGTGTGATTGTTAGCGGTTCTGCAAAAGAATGATGTATTCGTTTTTCAAGTTTCGCATTCAGAGTACTGGTCTTCTGAGATACAGGCTGCGGCCTAGTTCAGATACCAGTCTCTCCACAATCTTGTCATTAAGTCATTAATTAATTTATTAAGTTTGTTTTTTTGTGCATGAAATTGTGAGGAGAAGATATAAAGCATTATTAATATTATTATTATTATTATTCCGATTGGCCGGAACGTTTACGTTACGTTATAAATCATGATTGTATTGACGTTGTAACAACATAGTGATTTATAAATGTTGTTACATTATATTTTTAATGTTGTGGAGTTTTTTTCGCTCGTTTTTCTCCGCACCTAAAAAATATGTCCAATAACTTGTGGTAAGGAAAAAAAATGTATGGACGTTTCAAAAGTGTTGTACTATACATCCAATTTGAATAAAGATATATCGATTTCTGATTTCTGGTTAGTTAGCTTGTCAATTTCAAACAGCTATAGGACAGCCAGTCACTGTCAGGCGAAGGTGAGGTACTCTTCGAGGGGTGAGGGGAGGGGTTGGTCAAGAGATAGAGGGGAGGGGGGGAGCTACCCCTCGACCTCACCTCACACACACCGCGGAACGTTGAACTACGTGACATGATGTCACACTTGTTCGTGTGTGCCGACGATATTCATCGTTTTATAAGACGTTATCAAGGAGCCACAACATTGTAATTGCAAAATAAAACTTAACTACTTTGATATTTAAGATGTAAATGTTTAATTACACCTATTATAAATCAGGGCTTGTTTACCGGTTAATTTTCAAACCTAAATCAGTATCGAGTACATTAGGAGCGTTTTATTTAGGTTTGGCTCTACCTTAACCTTAAAAAAACGGTTTTCCTAAAAAGCGAAATCAAATAGGTTTTGAATCAATTTAGCGGTTCTTAAAGGGTTTCATTTCGCTCTTACTGACGGCATCGCCTTCGCCGTTCCAATAAGAATCAGAATTTTATTTGTGAAACATAGGTTAGTATACATGGTATATAAAATTTTTGTTAGTATCACTACATTTCCACCTTAATTAAGGTATACAAATAGATATGGACCTATGAAAGGTGTGCTATTATTTTTACATTGGAATCACAATTGATGAATATAATTTGAAATTGTCTATTGTTACATGCATGTCAAAGTAGATTATAAATTAATTATAAATTTGATAAGCCATAAAGTTGTCATACTAATAGTCAAAATTTTAATAGAAAAATAAGCAAAATTTCCAAAATAGCAATAAATACACATTTCTTAACTGAATTGACAATTTTAATATGTCTAAATTTTATAATAGAGAACTGCTTTTATAAAAGACATGTCCGATTTAATTACAAGATTTGTCATTTAAAAATTCCTCAACTGTATATTAGGCTTTTTCAACTAATAATGCCAACAGACGCTTCTTAAAAGTCTTTATCGGTAGTGATTTAAGACAACACGGAACCTTGTTGAATATTCTGTGAGCCATCCCAAAGAAGCTACTACTAACATGTACGGTTTTAAATGATTTTATGTCAAATTAAAATTTATAATGATTTTATGTCAGTTTCTATCCAACTGGAGAGCGAGTGAGTGAAGTAGTTTGTCAGTGCACAACTACAAAATGAATAACTTGACTCACTAGACGCTAGCAAACGTGTCAATAAATGCATCAATCTCTGAGCATTAACAAGTTGTGACTTGATTAGTTCAAACAAAACAAACTTCAAGCGATGCCGACGCGTGCACGTGTCGCTCTGGATTAAACCGGTTTATTAAGGTTTTAGGTACCGCTTTCATTTCGGACGCGCTCCGAACGAAACCTTTACTAAAAACCGGTATTAATATTTATTTACCGGTATTTTCGAAACCGGTTACAAGCCCAGTTATAAATAACTGTATTTGTATTTATACTGTGTGACACAGCAATCAAAATGCAGGTGAACAATTAATGTATAATTTCACATTATCTAATGAAAGGTGACTTCATGAATCATCTCTGAAGTTATTTTTCAACTTGACGACTCTGTAAATGATAAAACAGGGAGAAAAAAACAGCCCTTGCTGAGTTTCTTGCAGGTTCTTCTCAGTACAAGGTCTCCCGCCGTAGATTTATGAACCGATGGCGTAGCTTCTAGACATTCATATGTGCTTGTAACAGACTAAACTGAATAAATGATTTTAATTATGATTGTTATGATTAGACAAACTAGGATCTCTCTGTTGTGATGGAAAATAAATATATTATTATTATATATATTATTCGTTTGTGCTCTGAGCGAATTTACAAAATTGACTGAGTGAATTATTATCGGTTTCAATTAATTATTTTTTCCAATGTGTATTATAATGTATTTCTCAAATGGATGTATCTATTGCCTTGGGTATATACCTGTAATAATAGATATAAGTACTTGATATAAATAAATATTATTGATTTCATTTAATTTGACGTCATAAGGATGGTAACACTGCGGGGGCGTTAAAGTATTGTAAGTACAAATCGCCATTTTAGGATGTTTTGTAAACTATTTAAATTAATATTTTTGTATGTGGTGAGTACGTTTACTGTTAATAACTGTCCGAAATATTTTTAGTGACACAATTTTTAAGTGTCTCAGTACCTTTAGTACGAGTTTTACAATTACGAAAACTATGATAGTTTTCGTGAGCTCGCACTCGTACTAAGGGTACTGATTTTATTGTTTTCGTTTCAATACAAATAAACAGTGTTTAAATTCTATCATTAAATCGTTTGCGTCTTCTTAAATTTTAAGTATATTTGGTTACTTTTCACCAAAATGGACACAGAAACATAATTTACAATTACGAAAACTATGATAGTTTTCGCGAGCTCAAACTCGTACTAAGGGTACAGGTAACTCAGAATTCACAGTGAATATTTAACTACATTTCATAATATCTTAAGCAGCAAAAAAAGACATTGTAGATTACTTATTCTTTATTGCCACTGCTTTAAATGAATCGATTGTCCACACAAACTTTCATCAACTCATTACGCATTAATTAATATCTGTCAGTCATATCACAAACTATATCATTCTGCGTCTTTTCCAATCTAAATGAATTTACACTTATCAAATCTCTTGTATCCTTGACTATACAGGCAGTCCTCGACTTACGTCGTTTCAAGTTACGTCAAACAATATTTTGACACTATTCTTCAAGCATACGTCAATTGTTCCGATTTCCGGCACAGAAGAATTCACTTGTCGCGAGGTCAATGTCCGTGGGGATGTCTCGACTTACGTCGTTTCGATTTACGTCGCTTATTTCGAGAACCTAACATGCCGTTAGTACGAGGACTGGCCTTTTTTATGGCATATGTCAGTGACATATGTCGATTTGGTGAAATAAGGCCCTGGGGGTTGATTATTGAAACTGGCCATATAAGTATAATGATACTGTGGCGGCAACATCTATATGCCCCACAGATATACAACGGATGTAGGAAAACATTACTCACCATCCTCAAGAGATGGCGTTACCTGCACTGCGATCAATATTAGTATGGAAGCCTACATCGCGCAAATGAAATTCGGAGGCTAACTCTTCATATATACGATGCCCGACCAACATCAGTCGGGCCGCGGCCCCCGAGCTAACGTCACACAGCTCGGAGGAAGATCTTCCCCTTTGGCCTTCCTACAATACTATCGTAAGCACAGTGTATGTTAAATCAAACATAGATGTCAATTCTGACATGATTCTCTAAACTTTTGTCAATTGAGGTCAATTGTTTCGATTTCCGGCATAGAAGAATTCACTTGTAGCAAGGTCAATATCCGTGGGGCCGACGTCCGTGGGGATGTCTCGACTTACGTCATTTCGTTCAAGCATACCTATGCTTGCAGAATAGTGTCAAAACATTGTTTGACGTAACTTAAAATGACGTAAATCGAAACGACGTAAGTCGAGGACTGCGCGTAATAGCTTTGAGGGATTTTCAAAAAAAATAGTGTGCACACCACAAATCTGAAGTAAATGTTGTTCTTTTTATAAATTACCCTAACCTAATCTAGCATTAGGCGGTGCATAAGGCATAGGATAGCAGCGCACGTATCACACATATATATATATTCGCTCGTGACGCTCGTAGCGTTTCAGCCTTCGCCGAGTTACTTCCCAACTTTCATCACACACACACACATATATACATAGTCGTCAGACAGCCCCCTATGCAGAGGATGCATGGAGTCGGAAGAAACGCCACAGCATGTCATCATGGAATGCAGGAGTGTGGCCGACCAACGGGCATGACTTCTCCAGTCGCCAGAATCGTTTCCGGAAGCTTGCAGCAGTCTACCAAGGCTGCTTTCCTTCTGGACCGACATAGGCTGGCTGGAGTAAACGGGAATGTTTTTGAGACACGCACAATGGTCCAATAATTAGGACTAAGTGCGGAAACCGCCCTGAAGAACTAACTAACTAACATTTACATAGTCGTGTGACGCGCGTGACGCATTTCCGTTTCATCTTTTCCACAGGATTTTTTCCATTTACACCCCGTGCGAAAAGAAGTTTTCACTTCAAAAACTAAAGTTAACGCGAACGAAGTCACAGGCAAATGCTAGTCCCGCTAATACTTATTATAAAGGCGAAAGTTTGCGAGTGTGTATGTTTATTACTTCTTCACGTCTAAAAGGCCGGAGCGATTTTAATAAAATTTGGTAAGGAGTTAGCTGACATCCTGGATTAAAAAAAATTGTGTGTGTCAGCTCCGACGCACGACTGGAGTTTACTCCTTAAGTTCGATAGTCTAACCAGACGCAAAAAGAGTTTATTTAACTTAAAAAAGATTGATACTGTATGAAAGGGTAGATTAACAAATTAATGAAAATAATATAGGTATATAAATATATATTTAAACATTTCTTATACATTTATTATAACTAATCGACGAAATATTTTACATTAAACTTTTTACAATAGTCAATATCAGATGTGCATAAATATATCATTAGGAATGTTGATAAATTATGTAATTATTATTATCAGACTATTATCATTTTTTTAAATATTAATTAAATCAACATTGTCTGCATTATTAATTACAGTGACAAGTGGTTAACAATTAATGTCAATCCGTCATCTTTGTTTGTCAAAGTTGCGCGACATAGGATGCGCACCAAAAACGTAACGAGGTCATTCATCGATAGATTTTACTCCTCACATTTTTCTCATACCGGGCCCCTTATATATGCAATTCGATTCTTAAGGAGTAAACTCCAATAGGCTACGTTTTACTGCGGCAGAATATCACTGATAAACACCGCGGGGCACAGCTAGTAATAGATATTGTCAACACACTTACTGTTTATCGTCTGTAGATATCGGCTCGCCCGCTTCGATTCTTCTTATTTCTCTTCTGTTTCGGTTTATTTCTTCTTTTTTGTTCAATATAGAAAACAACACTGGGAAGTGTTGTCTTCTATATTCTTTAAGATATTCATTGTCCTGATTGATGTCATCGTGATCTCTGTTCAACCGAAATATCATTAAATCAGATAGCAGACCTCATCCTCTAAACATAAAATTGAGTTATGTTTCTATATTTTTAAGCATTTAACAGCTACATGCAGTTAAATGCTTAAAAAAATAAAAATATAACTATAATTGCTATTTCTTCTTTCAAATGTTTAGTACTTGTAAATGTATTCATTTGACATTGTGGGTTCTTACAATGCGAAGAGATGGCGCTGCCTTGCAAAGGGTCCTTGTTCGAGTCCCGTCCGCTGCCTGGCCGCGTGGATTTTTTTCTAGTAAAACTTTTCTTTAGATAAAATTATGTGTATATTTTTTGTTCTTTGAAGGAAATAAAGCGCCGTCTCCAATAAATAAGTAAATGTATTTCTATCAATATTCAGTTACATAATGTTGAATATATATGCGACAAATATTAAACAGATATAAATATTGAAAAAGGGAGGATTCTTGACCAAGAAACTAGTTTTTTTTTGAGTGTATATGCTGTTGTTCGCAGATGACCTTTACAGCGTCACCGGGTTTGGGGAAGGCGAGATCTGGCGGGGACCTCAAGCCGAGAATTGTCGAGTGCCTCTAGAGGTATTCCAGTCGGATGGCATCTCCCCACGGGGGGAGTCTCCTCTCCGTCTGGAGCCTCTACACCACGAGCACCTGAGGGGGTCGGGTCTACTAGAGGGCGTCTCTGAGACTCGGACCTCGGCTCTAGTTAGCCGTTGGAGTGGGGGGGGGGGGGGGGGGGGGGTAAAAACGCCCAGGCACGTACCTGGTATAGCGTGTCGTGTGTAGACCGGGTCTTCGCAATCTTATCCTACGGGTGCGGTGTCTGCCTAATGCTAAGCTAGTGTGCACGTTTGCTAGCTGTGTAGTGTTGGTGTTTGTGGTAGAAACTCAAGTGATTCGGGCATTAGATTTTATAGTATACAGGGTGTTACAAAAATACAAATAAAGCTTGAAGGGCGTCGAAGTACATCATATAAGGAGAATTCTCTAATTTTCTAAAAATATTTGCAAGAAGTTTGAACTTTTTATAAAAAAAGTTATTTTTAATGATTAATAAAAATATCGAACATTTTAAGACATGTCACTAGTTCGAGGTCATGCACCTTACCAGGAGTAGTAATAAATCTGCTGTAATAAATAAAATTAGAGAAGATTATATGATGTACTTCAACGACCTTCAAGATTTATTTGTATTTTTGTAACACCCTGTATATACAGCGCCATCTCATTCCTTCCTGTGATAGCTACGACAATGGTGGGGTTGCTTCACTGTCGTGGTTCGCTTATTCGGCCGTACGTCGTCCCGTCCGGTCGCTAGATGGAGCTGTTTATGAACACTAAATTTGGTAATAGTTCACTCTTATTCACGCATAGAGCGAACGAAAGGGAGTAGTCTTAGCGACATCATACTATTCAAATTAATCTGTAGTTTTTATTATACACGTATTCATGCATAGGCAAACTTATATCTAATAGAATAAAAAAAAAATTGTTTAAATTTGTGAAATTTACATAAAATATGGATGTGTAATGGAGGAGCGGAGTCGCCTGGCACAAGCATTGATTTGCTTAAAAGGGGTCTCCTGCCACTAACTATTGTAAACTAAATCATTTATCAATAAATTATTATTATTATTTTTCGCACGGGTTCGGAGGGGGGGGGGGGGGGGGGATGGATATGAACACAAACGCAGACAGTTAAAAGTACACGCATATAAAACGAAACTGTTACTTCATACATAAACAATGACACAATCTGAGATTAAAACATGATGTTCATGATGTTGTATATTTTAATATATTTACATAAACACATAAAGTCAGGCCTGTCAGTAATTGTTAAAATTGTATTAATGTTAACGGGTCATTGAGTTTTGGGTGGCAGTAGAGAATATACAGATGAATGTTTTGTGACAATTAAATCTTGACCAATCTGTTCAAGTCAAAAGCTGTATCCCCTATTATCCTATATACAAAATTCTCGTGTCACAATGTTAGTTACCATACTCCTCCGAAACGGCCTGACCGATTTTTATGAAATTTTATATGCATATTCAGTAGGTCTGAGAAATGGCTACTATGTATTTTTTATATCCTTAAGTGATAATGGTTGTCCACCTGTAACGTAGTGTTCTGAAACCTACAATGCTTCGCGACAAAATTCAAACTATTGGGTATTGTAACTTAGTATTCTCATATGGGTTAGGAGGAATTTTATCCCAGCAAATTGATAGAACACTACGTTACACACCCCTAAAAACTTTTTTGGACAATATTTATTTTTTTATAATGTGGTATTCAAAAATACATACAACCCTAAATTTTCTCTTCTACCACCTACCCCTATTTTTAGTGCAGTACGAAGTTCGCTGGGTCAGCTAGTCATTATATAAATTTATATGAACAAAATTAACATTGTAACTTACTGTTCAATGGATTCATCGTTTGATGTAAAGTCTTCGCTGTCAGAATTTGTTTCCGATTTGACGGTTTGTTGAAGTTTCTCGTTTTCTCTATTCCTCTGGTTTATATCTTGCTCCTCCCAGTATTCTTGTTCATAATCTCGAGGAGAAACATTGCTTTGTACTCTGTTATAAAAACATATGTACGTTAATAAAAAAAGTCAATTTTAATAAACAATAGGGTATTTGACAGTGTTAAAAATGAGGTGCCATGTTGGCATGTGTGTTTAGAATGAATATTGGCAGGGGTTTTTACTATTTTTACAAACAAAAATTTTCATAATTTTACTAAAAACTAACGAAAAAGATAATAGTTTTCTTATCTATTGTCACGTGACCCAAAACGCTTGGGATTGGCGGAGCTTAAAATTACGTCACACGCAAGTAAACTTCCGGTTACAGTGACATTACATTGTATCGTTTGACGTTTTAATATCAGTCGTGTGACGTCATACACTAGTAAGACGCCATATTGTCCAGAGAAACGTTTTCGCGGCAACTTGAAAATGGAGTTTTTGATTTGGTTATTTTTACTGAAATACACAACAGAATGGTGAGTATCCACTTTTTACGGACTTCATAAACATTAATCAATAACGTGAGATACCCGCAGCGCCACTTAGATTCATCATCAACCTATTAATGTCCCCACTGCTGGGGCACAGGCCTTCCCTATGAATGGAATAGGGAGATTGAGCCATAGCCCTCCACATGGGCCCAGTGCGGATTGGCGGGTGCTAACGACTGCAGATGCAGCCGGGACCAACGGCTTAACGTGCCTTCCGAAACACGGAGGAAGGAGAAATAGTAATTTATTTTGGTCACCCATCCAATGACCGACCACTGCGAAAGTTGCTTAACTTCAACGATCGCAGCCGAACGCGCTAACGTAAGTTAGAGTGAGATAGGAGGTGCCTGCCTACCGCTGCCGTATGCGTGAGAGGAAGGGAAGCTAGACAGACTAGCGCCGTAACGCGTTACGTAACGAAGCAATTTACCCTCCCATAAGAAGTGATCACTTCAAAAAATCATTATTCAATATTACTATTGTTTATATCTATACATATAATAAAATGATAGGAAAGTCAAAACTGTACATTAAATATTTTTTAAAAAGAATACTTGGGGTGTGATCTACAATCGATACCGAAGCCAAAAATATAGTTTTTAGAATTTTTGTCTGTTTGTCTGTATGTATGTCCGGGATGAACTCAAAAAGTACTGCATGGATTTACTTCAAAATTGGCACGTCTATTATTAAGAAGTCGGGTCAACATATAGGCTACATATTATCACGCTATCACCTACGGGGAACGAGCAGTGAACCATTATTTCTAACTCCACGCGTACGAAGTCATGGGCGGCCGCTATTATCTATATATATAAAACTCGAAGGTGACTGACTGACTAACATAGTGATCTATCAACGCACAGCCCAAACCACTGGACGGATCGGGCTGAAATTTGGCATGCAGGTAGATGTTATGACGTAGGCATCCGCTAAGAAAGGATTTGATCAATTCTACCCCCAAGGGAATAAAATAGGGAATGAAACTTTGTATGAAAATTTGACAATTTTAAACCGATCGGGCTGAGACTTTGCATGCAGGTATAAGAAGAATCATAGATGAATGTCATTGTGTATAATACAAGCCTGAGAACAAAAGCTGTAGTCTACACTTCAGCTCTAAACCGAAGCGAAGCGAGGGCGGGCCGCTAGTTATTAATATAATTATAAAATTAACCTTTCTGTCTGTGCTTGATGCGAAGATGTACAAGACGATTCAAATCTTTTCCTCGCTCTATACCTCCTTTGTCGTTGTTTGTTTAATTGTCTTTTCCGTTCAAGTACAGCTGGATCGACACTAAAAATTATAACATAAATAAATAAATATTTCCAACACTCACACCAATAGGGATGATGACGGGGTACAGTAAACGAAATTCTATTTAGTCCGTTAGTTAGATGATCAAAAAATAATGGACACGTATTTTTTCTTTGGGCAATCAACCAAAAAATGACAAAGTTATAGCGCGTCAAAGTTTGGGAGTAGGGGCTCGTGACGTCACTTTTGAGTGAATTTTCACTAATAAGTGTACTCAAACGTGACGTCACGAGCCCCTACTCCCAAACTTTGACGCGCTATAACTTTGTCATTTTTTGGTTGATTGCCCAAAGAAAAAATACGTGTCCATTATTTTTTGATAATCTACCTGATAAACGAAGAAAAAAAAATTAGTCATCATCCCAATTAGTCTAGCCCCAAAGTAAGCACTGTAAGACTTGTGTTATGGGATACTAGGGTAACGGATAGAATACATATATAGTGCATAAATAAGTATCTAATATATAAAATTCTCGTGTCGCAGTGTTTGTGGTTAAACTCCTCCGAAACGGCTCGACCGATTTTCGTGAAATTTTGTGTGCATATTGGGTAGGTCTGAGAATCGGATGTAATCTATTTTTCATCCCCCTAAATGTTATGGTTACCCCCCCCCCCCATTTTTTTTTTAAATTTTAGATATTTTTTTTTTATTTTTTTTATGATACATCATACAAAAATACATACAACCCTAAATTTTCACCCTTCTACCACCAACCCCTATTTTTTATGGCGGTACGAAGCTCGCTGGGACAGCTAGTATTTATATAGAAATACATATTAAACATCCATGACTGGAGTACAAATGCTCGTATTCATCTTTGAATGTAATTGTACCGTTTTGTTTGTCAACTCCTCATATATTAAAACATAAAATGTGAGCCTCAAATGTTTTTTATCAACAACACAACATATATGTCGGCGGATGGCGTCTCGCTCGCTCCTGCGAAACGTAAAACCTACAACAAATGTCATCAGTCATTGTACCATTGCTTTGTGAAACGTCAAGTTATGACAGTGACAGCTGTCATCACTTGGGAGTGGTCTATGCTAAGGGCAGTATTTAAGGGGGTAACGCTTCATTGGAAGGGGCATTCGGCATTCGGCATTCAGCATTCAGACCAGTGTTTCCACAATGAGGGGAAATTCCCCTTTTAAGGGGAAATTAGGGTCCAGAGGGGAAGAAAAAGGGGAAAGATATGAAAGAAGAAGAAAGTGAAATTGCGGGAAATTATGGGTAAAGCCTAGCCTAAAATAATGCGGCATGGAACAAATTTAAGTTTTATGGACTAGAGTGTTGCCGTATAAAAGAAACTGTGGCAACACGTGCAGATTTGATATATTTTATTTATCTGTTAAAGAATAAGATAGATTAAGATCCTTTTTTTTTTTTTTCTTTATTTACTACACTAGTGCCAAATCTGAAAACTACAGCAGAATAATTTTTGAGGGGAAAAATGTCCTAAGAAGGGGAAATCTGAATTGAGGCGTGGGGAAAGGCAATCATTAAAGTGGAAACACTGATTCAGACGTGAGCCGCGATAGTGAACGGACGTTAGCACAGAACTCTCCGCGCTTCACAAAGCAATCCATTTGTATCCTAATAATCGTAACATATTTTGTAAAGTAATTTGAAGTTTTAAATTAAACATTATCTTGGTTATTAGACTGCAATTTAATTTCCGGAAAATAACATCAAACACCCAAGATGGCGGATCAAGAAAAACCACGTGGCCAACCGCCTCTCCGATATATATATAAATTCAATAATAATTACGATTTCATGTTGACATTATCACTTCTTCTCTCACGATATTCTTCTGATCTTTCAATTTGTTGCTGTGATTGTAAATTCTCTGTTGATGGACCAGCCCTTTGATCCACTTGTGATGATGACGATGTACTGTCCATAGCATCTAAATCTTGATCACTCTGCTTCAACATTTTCTTTGCTCTAAAAAAGAAAATGCATATAAGAATTCTACGAGCCTTCAATGACATAAGCAGACCCCTCTTTCCCAGTGGGTACTTTGGGCAAGTGCCAGGGCCCCGCGATCGATAGGGGCCCCCTCAGATCAAATACAAAGTCCCTAGTTCCTTTCTTAGGTTTTCACGCACATCACTCATTAAATAAAACTAGTTTTTACGGGTTAATGCACGAAAACTTTATTTATTTATTGACGTTTCGCAGCCTTTTCAGGTCTGCATCGTCAGAATAATGATTTTTTATTTAAAATTGTCGAGCTACCTTCGAAAGACTTATATTGAGCGTTCGGTTATTTCATTGGAAGATTTTTAAAATTTTATTGTCTATGTATGAATTTATTATTTAATTTACTTAATAAAGTATTTTATTTAAAATTCTTGTTTGTAATTTTGAGTTTATTTATTTATTTGACCCTAACTACCGTAAACTACCACCGGTTCCAAAATTGGGAGACCTTCCTGAGAAGAACCGGCGAAACAAACTCAAGAGAGGCTTTCTATCTCCTTCTTATGTTAAATTATGCAAACAAAAAGAACTAATAGTATCTGATGGTCTTGCAGTGTGTGCTCGGGGTTGGGATTTTATCTCCTGTATAATAGGTTCCCAAGCTGGTGGTATATACCAACCATCTTCCCTATTGAAATTTGGATATTTTTTAATCTCAATAGCCTCGCGCAACATTCGAGGAACGAACCGCCGCCGAAACGTCAATAAATAAATAAAGTTTTCGTGCATTAACCCGTAAAAACTAGTTTTATCCCTAGTTTCTGCTAAATCACCAAACGGGGGTCATAGCCCCATTATCCTAAGACAAAAAGTCAAAGACGGCACTGGACATAAGTTTTATATATAAATTCATCATCAGTCTATTAATGTCCCCATTGCTGGGGTACAGGCCTTCAATATGGATGGAGTAGGGAGATTGGGTCATGACCCACCACGCGGGCCCAGTGCGGATTGGCGGGTGCTAACGACTGCAGATGCAGCCGGGACCAACGGCTTAACGTGCCTTCCGAAGCACGGAGGAGGGAGAGATAGTAAATTTTTGACCACCCATCCAATGACCGAGGAGTTTGATGGCACAAGTGGTCAGCGCGTTCGGCTGCGATCGTTGAAGTTAAGCAACTTTCGCAGTGGTGGGTCATTGGATGGGTGACCAAAAATTTACTAACTTGAGCTGCTCAGTGTTTCGGAAGGCAAGTTTTTTTTATTTATTTTTTATTTATTGTAACATGCTTAAAAATAAATCTATATTTATAAAACTCAAAGGTGACTGACTGACTGACATAGTGATCTATCAACGCACAGCCCAAACCACTGGACGGATCGGGCTGAAATTTGGCATGCAGGTAGATGTTATGACGTAGGCAGCCGCTAAGAAAGGATTTTGATCAATTCTACCCCCAAGGGGATAAAATAGCGAAGCGAAGCGAGGGCGGGCCACTAGTTTAATATTATATACATATCTAATCCACTTACATAGAAAGATAGATATACACTTTATTACTCGCACATACACAATTAAAGGGTTTACAAAACAGAAAGTAAACTATGGTGGGTAAAGGCGGTCTTATCGCTGAAAGCGATCTCTTCCAGACTACCTTTATGTCGAAGGATAGTTTAACAGAGATAGAAGAGTAATGTGCCAGCAAAATATAAAACAAAATAAAATATAAATAACACTTAATGGATTTTTAATATGTAGCGTCCTCCGCAACAGAAGTTGCAGATATAGATATTGATCTGAATCTTACTAAGGTACTGTATAAATGAAATTAAAATAAATTAAGCCGTTGGTCCCGGCTGCATCTACAGTCGTCATGACCCAATCTCCCTATTCCATCCATAGAGAAGGCCTGTGCCCCAGCAGTGGGGACATTAATAGGCTGATAATGATGATCCAATGACCGACCACTGCGAAAGTTGCTTAACTTCAACGATCGCAGCCGAACGCGCTAACCACTTGCGCCATCGAGCTCCTCAAAATTTAAAAATTAATATTTACAATCTTTTTCTCTCTCGGTATTCTTGCATGCGTTGAACTGCAGTTTTGGGCTGTTTTTTTTTATGTTTTCTCTGGTCTGACTGTTCTTCATTATTTCCCGATGAATTATTACTATGAACAGGGAAAGATAATTATATATTAAAACCAACGATATTAAATACCCTAGATACACCACGTGCGCTCAAAATGTGTCCCAATCAAGAAGTGCTTGAACATGACACAAGCACTTCTTGGTTCACACTTCCGCGAAAACAGGCGAAAAAAAACTTATAGAATGTAAAATGACATTATTTCGACAGGTATGTAATCAATGTTTGTTAATTAACTCATTTGAAGTGAATTTTGTTTTAATACAGTAGAATCCGTTTATTATGACTCCGCCTATATTGACCAACCGCCTATTATGACGTAATTACATAACGAAGTTTGGTTTACATATAAAATTCATTGTAACAATGTCGGATATAATGACTTCGCTTACAGTGACATGTCGCTTTGTGGCGGCAACATCTATATGCCCCACATATATACAACGGATGGAGGAAATCATTACTCACCATCCTCAAGAGATGGCGTTACCTGCACTGCGATCTTAATAGTATGGAAGCCTACATGGCGCAAATGAAATTCGGAGGCTAACTCTTCATATATACGATGCCTAATCATAATGCCCGACTGAACTAATATCAGTCGGGCCGCGGCCCCCGAGCTAACATCACCCAGCTCGGAGGAAGATCTTCCCCTTTGGCCTTCCTACACTGGTGACCCCGACGTGATCACGTTTTATACTGATATTAGTCGGGCATCGTATATATGAAGAGTTAGCCTCCGAATTTCATTTGCGCGATGTAGGCTTCCATACTATTAAGATCGCAGTGCAGGTAACGCCATCTCTTGAGGATGGTGAGTAATGATTTCCTCCATCCGTTGTATATATGTGGGGCATATAGATGTCGCCGCCACATCTTATTATGACCCATTTTTAATCAATTTTGTCCGTTTATAGTGACCGACATGGTTCTTTACACCTACGGTAATGTTCGTTGATTCAAATTGAACATCAAGCATTGTTTTTAGTGATATGCTATGTACAAAAATGTCATCTCAACGTCGTAAAGCATTTACGCCTGAGGAAAAAGGTGCAAAGCATATTATTATGCTGATTAGAAAATGGAGAATCAAACTCATCTCACAATCAAAAAAGTTTCACAAAAATGCTTTTTTTTTTTTTTTTTTTTTTCACAAAAATGCTTTGCATGACGTCCGCTTAGTATGACGTGTTTGTCGATTCCCTTCGAAGTCATAATAAACGGATTGTACTGTACTTAATATAAACTGATTTAATAGGAAATATTTGTGATATTCAAATTCATGGTCGGTAATATAGCCGTCTCTTTTCCTCGCGGTCCGTACCTGCTATTTTACTAACAGCGCATTCAGAATTGCGCGTAGAGTCAAAGAAATAAGGTCTATATTCACGTGCTTAATTAAGACCTTACACAGTATGAAATAAAGGTGATTTTCAATGTTTATTGCTTAGACTACGCGATCATCTTACGGAGCTCCGTGGATCGTCCAATGTACCTTGTGGACAGGTTTCGGGCATGATTTTGTTCGTGTTGGTGTATCTAGGGTATTTAATATCGTTGATTAAAACATAAAATATGAGCCTAAAATATATTTTTTTTATCAACAGCACAGCATTAGTGCTATGTACCAATTGACCAAGGGGGCGTCCATAAATTACGTGAGGTGTTTTTTTTGGATTTTCTGTCCCTCCCTCCCCCCCTGGTGAGATGTCGTGAGATTTTATTCAACCCCCTCCCCCATCCCCCAATCTCAAGTGAGATTTTTCAAAATGTGAGTTTCTTTCGTAAACGCGTTGGATTGTTATTGTAAAAAGAAAAAAAAATGCTTCGTGCTTTTATTTACGACTAGTTAAGACTAGTAATCAATATTGCTGAGAGTTATAAGTGTAATAAAAATTAAACAAAAGAATACTTAATAGATACTACTGGGAAAAAAAATGCGTGATATTTGCCGAGACCCCCCCCCCCCCTCTCTCTCTCCAACGTAAGATTAGATGAGATTTGACTCGACCCCCCCCCCCCTCCCCTTAAACATCTCACGTAATTTATGGACGCCCCCCAACTGCACCGTAGCATCTATGATGCTATAGCATCAATCATCATCAATATGAGCAGTACTGTAGCATCTAAATCTTGATCACTTTGCTGCGTCAACAGTATTGTCTTTGCTCTAAATAAGAAAATGCAAATAGAATAGAATAAAATTTAAATTACCCTCATTAAGACATTTTTTTAACACACCAATTAACCTAGCCCCACAGTAAGCACTGTAAGGCTTGTGTTTTGGGATACTAGGGTAACGGATAGAATACATATACTGATACATATATAACTATATTTATAAAGAAATACATATTAGACATCCATGACTGGAGTACAAGTGCTTGTATTCATCATACAAACATCTGCCCCTACCGGGATTCGAACCCGGGACCTCTCGAGTCAGCGACACCGTGGAACCCGGCGTACAAACCACTCGGCCACGGAGGTCGTCACATTAACAGATGCAAATCCAAAAATCTCAGGGCTAACCAGGACCCTGCCTCAGCATTAGCTGATACGACATTGCTGTTACTGTTGACGCCAGCGCTGTTATTCTGGCAGGGCCTGTTTAGTGACACAAAAAAGACATTAAAATGGGCCTAGCATCCTTTGCTTTCAAGTAACAAACAAGAATTCTACGAGCCTTCAATGTCATAAGTTTTATACAGGCAGTCTTCGACTTACGTCGTTTCGATTTACATCGTTTCAAGTTACGGCGGACAATGTTTTGACACTATTCCTCAAGCATACGTCAATTGTTTCGAAAGGAGAATTCACTTGTCGCGAGGTTAATGTCCGTGGGGAATAGGGCTGATGACGGGGTACAGTAAACGATATTCTATTTAGTCCGTCAGTTAGATGATCAAAAAATAATGGACACGTATTTTTTCTTTGGGCAATCAACCAAAAATGACGAAGTTATAGCGCGCCAAAGTTTGGGAGTAGGGGCTCGTGACGTCACTTTTAAGTGAAAATTGTACCAAAAGGTGACGTCATGCGACTTATCAAATCAATATATCTCTGCAATGTTTATATTATGTGAAAAGAGAAAAAAATACGTGTCCAATACTTTTTGATAAAATCTACCTGATAAACGAAGAAAAAAAATTTAGTCATCATCCCTATTCTCGACTTACGTCGTTTCGATTTACGTCGCTTATTTCGAGAACCTAACATGCCGCAAGTGTGAGGACTACCTGAAATATAAATTAATATATAAAACTAGTTTTAACGGGTTAATGCACGAAACTTTATTTATTTATTGACGTTTCGTAGCCTTTACAGGCTTCGTCGTCAGAATAAAACTTTTATTTTTTGTATTTTCTGTATTATAAATAAATTTTCGTGCATTAACCCGTAAAAACTAGTTTTATTTAATGAGTGATGTGCGTGAAAACCTAAGAAACAAATATAGAAATTAATATTTACAATTTTTTTCTCTGTCGGTATTCTCGCATGCGTTGAGCTGCAGTCTTCGCCTGTTTTTTTTGATAACCCACTGACGCCCTTATTTTCTCTCTATATCGTCGTGTTGCCGCTCTGCGCTTTGCTCTTTTTTCCATTGTCGTTATTTCAGAGAGTTGATTGTCGTCTGTAGTAATTTCAACTTTTGCATCTGCTTCTTGTTGTTGTTTACGTTGTTGTCTGAGCAATGCTCTTCGTGCTCTGAATTCTCGGCCACGTTCTGCAGCAGTTTTTGGCGCTCCATTCAACCTAAAATTCCATCATTTTAATTTGGTAAATTTAAAAAAATAATAAAATAAATAAATATTTCCAACACTCACACCAATTAGCCTAGCCCCAAAGCAAGCACTATAAAGCTTGTGTTATGGGATACTAGGGTAACGGATAGAATACATATACTGTGCATATATAAGTATATTTATATAGAAATACATATTAAACCTCCATGACTGGAGTACAAATGCTCGTGTTCATCACACAAACATCTGCCCCCACCGGGATTCGAAACCGGGACCTCTCGAGTCGGCGATGCCATGAAACCCGGCGTACAAACCACTCGGCCACGGAGGTCGTCCAAATGTTAATGTGTCATGAATGATTATTCATAAAAATAAAAATTAATTTACCTAATTATAAAAACGTGTTTCTGTTTTTGTGCATGATCTATAGTGAGATTTCCATCGTCAACTTCCATTTGATTATTTGCATGTTCAGTCACGTTGTCACCATTTATTTGTGATGGTAAGCCTCTACAATTAATAAGTATTTTATTATTTACGTATTGTTTTTTTTAACTGCTTGATGTTTAAATCTAAAGAAAAGTTTACTAGAAAAAATTCCACGCAGACCAGGCAGCAGACGGAACTCAAACCCGCACCCTTCGCTATCCGGGCGAATGCACTAACCATTAGGCTACCGCGGCCCTGACGGCCGTGTCAAATTTTCTCTAGCCTCAGTGGGCAACCACTGCTGGGGCTCGTAAGGCTTGCGGGAGCCAGGTGTGAGGTCCGTTCGACGGTGTGCCTCTTAAAGGCGCCGTCGTCTGTAAATAGTATTTTTTGCCTGCGTATAAAAAAAAAAGTATTTCAAGACAAGTCTTTCACCAGTGTGTGTTGCTATGGAAGCGAGACGTGGTCTTTTACTGCAGATCTCGTAAGGCTCAAGGTCACACAGCGAGGGATGCTCGGTATTTCCCTACGCGATGGAATCAGAAATGAGGAAATCTGTAGAAGAACCACAGTAACCAATATCGCTCGAAGGATTGCCCTGCTGAAGTGGCAGTGGCCAGGGCACGTAGGTAGAAGATCCTATGGCTGTTGGTGCGGAAAGGTTCTAGAATGGCGACCACGCACCGGACGACGCTCAGAGGGCAGGCCTCCTACAAGGTGGACCGACGATCTTGTGAAGGTCGGGGAAGCCGATGGATGCGAGTGGCGCAGGACCGATTGGTGCGGTGATCCTTAGGCGAGGCCTATGCTCAGCAGTGGGCGTCTTACAGCCGACATGATGATACTACATAGACATTATTACATTTTTCCCGGACCAATACGACCCAAAAACCTTCAAAAAAAGAGCGTTCTCCTTCCTTAAAGGCCGGCATCGCATTTGTGATACTCCTGGTGTTGCAAGTGTCCATGGACGTCGGTGATCACTTACCATCAGGTGAGACGTCTGCTCGTATGCCACCTATAACATAAAAAAAAAAAAAAAACATGGCAATGCCAAGTCAGATTTGCATCTATCACACTCCCGAGAAAAGTAACAGATGTAATTTCTGCAATTGACTTATCACGAATGATGATGTATCAATAACTGGGCTTTGCGTTCACTTAGCGTTAAAATTACAAAATTGAATATATATTTTTTTTGCTATATTTATATTTAAATTATTTAGTTTTAACCATTTTGTCATTTTCTCTATTTTATTATTAATTTCATTCTAGTTCATAATCTATATCACCTACAACAACACACATCATGGGACCGCACCTTTAGGCAGACAGTGACCATTTTTAAGATAGCATAAATGAGTTCTGTAGACCAATGTTAAAGTATGATTATGAACGCAGAAACCGATGAGAGATTCTTTGGAATCAACTTTAACATGGGTTTGTAGAATAAAATATTGCTTGCTTCTGCCTACCGGTCGCTCTCTGCATAATATCACTCATTTTTAGGGAGTGGGTCCCAAAGATCTAGTGGAATCTTAATGGGTGTATGCAAACCAACACCTATAAGTATATTATACATATAAAGTTTAAGAACACATACTAAACACACAATAAAACATGCATTTTAATAATAAATAAACCTAATTTATTTATTCTTAAAATGCATGTTTCATTGTGCTTAAAAATAAAATTTTTAGGAATTTACTATATTTTTCATATTGAATAATAGAAGATTAATTTAATAATGACTAAATACACAATAAAACATGCATTTTAATAATAAATAAACCTAATTTATTTATTCTTAAAATGCATGTTTCGTTGTGTATTTAGTCATTATTAAATTAATGTTCTATTATTCAATATGAAAAATATAGTAAATTCCTAATAATTTTATTTTTAAGCTATTAGCTGCTAGATGTTTAAATCTAACGACAATCGTTACTTCTTCTTTGAATGTTTAATACTGTGTAAAGGTATTAGTTTGAAATTGTGTTTTACCTACAATGTGCAGAGATAGTGCTGCCTTGCAGTCTAAGGGCTATAAAAAATTCGACACAGCCATCAGAGCTGCGGTAACATTTGAGTTTGAGTTTGAGTCCTATCTGCTGAGTGGTCAACATGGATGTTTTTCTAGTAGATTTTTTTTTAGGTAAAGGAATTATTACCTGAAATCACTGCATTCTATCTCTATTTCTTGTTTAACAGTAACAAATTCTGGGACCATTTCTTCGATATCGCACACCTCATTTCTGTCTGATAGAACATCCAGCTCTGGTTCTTGCTTGATAAATAAAGGTTCCGTTTCTAATTCTTGTTGAGGAATTACAAATTTTGGGACTATTTCTGCGGCTTCACTGTACCCATTTGTATTTGATAGAACATCGTCTTCTGGTTCTTGTTTTATAAATAAAGGTTCCGTCTCTACTTCTAGCTGAGTATTTACAAATTTTGGGACTATTTCTGTGGTTTCGCTGTACGCATTTGTATTTGATAGAACATCGTCTTCTGGTTCTTGCTTGATAAATAAAGATTCGGTGTTTATTTCTTCTTTAATAATTACCAATTCTGGGGCAATTTCTATGTCCACCTCTTGCTTTATTGAAACACATTCTGTAGCCATTTTTTTACGGTGGAAAATAAATCTTCAAGTATACGCCGTGCTTTATAAATAAAAAGAAAAGAAAAATCAATACGTAAACGAAGTTATACTTAATAACTTTGGCTCAGTCGGCTTTTCAAAGTTCTTTCTTACTATATAGCTTGTTTGTGTTATCCACAATTGTATCCAAAGCTTGTACCGATGATTCTGATAAGTCACAGTTTGCTAATTATTAGTTTTCCAATTTTCCAAAGCTTTTCCATTTTTATAGCCGTAAATAAAGACAACATCCAAAGTTTGCGGTTATTTTTTTATTTAATGTCTGTACCCATTTTGGGAAGGCAAAGGCCCATACAGCCTATTCTTATTTTTATTATTCTGTAAAACTCTTCTTTATTGAGGCCGGAACTGTCTTTTTTTAGGTATCTTGTCTTCTGTTGTACTTCTTTGTTAGCGTTTTTCTTTTTATTATAAGATTATACTCAGCTGTTCATTAACGTTAGTAGTCTCCTTTTATGTTTTTTCAGAAAAGCCGAAGCCACGTCGTTTGTTTAAAAGTAATGGTCATTGGTAGAAATGTCAAGAATAATATCATTTTCATTATAATGCGATTCAACTAAGAATTTGTGACGTCATAGCTGTCAATTCAAACCAAATAGGTAGCGTGAGCAAAAAAAAATTATTTAATAAAACTTATTTACTAAAATTAAGTGAAAAAAGTTAATAATTTTTTTTTACTAAGATTGAGCCACCATTGAACAACCGCTTTTTAATAATATTTAAATATTAAGACTGTGTGAGAAGAAACATTAATCAGAATCTAGTCCAAATCACAATTCTAAAGTGCAGGACACTTTCCAGCATTTCTCTATATTCGTATATTTATTTATTATATAAATTGCTTCTTCGTCTTTCCGTTTTTCTCCGATTTTATTTATTTTTAGTTGTAATTTTTGTTTATTTATCTACTTCACATCTGCATGTTTTTATCCGTTGCCATGGCTCTATGCCTATTCAACCTCCACAGACCACCTACTTTGATTCTTTTTAGTTCGATTCGAATAGTGTCTAAATTTAAATGATTCCGGTACTTTAAAAGGCCGAGCCACCCTGATCTTTCAATCATTTCTTCGGCAAAAGTTGCCATAATAACTTTTGTTAGCTCGCTAGGCCTTGTTCCGGCAGGCGCGGTCGCAGCCTGAAATTTAGGAGGGGGTCACTCACTACACTAATAAAAAATACCGGCCAAGTGCGAGTCGAACTCGCTCACGGAGGGTTCCGTACACACCTGAATTTTCAAAAATATTTTTTATTATATGATGTAACTAATAATTTACGGTTTTCGCACTTTTCATAGAAAAAATACTAAACTTGTATACAGTTGAATTTGGTCTCAAAATAAAGCCAAAATTATTTGCTACATAAAACTACTTTTGCCTTATTTTTAGTGAATCGTGGAAAGAAATTATTTAATGATTAATATTTTTTGATATAGAAACCCTTTTGATGACAAACCTACGTATTTGACATTGACAGCTAGCTGCTGATGACAAATATTGCCAGACTACGTTACCCAATTAAGAAACACAGATAAAAAAAAATGGGTGCGTGTACTTATGTAGGAGCGTGAGAAGTTATCCTTATTTGGCATCGTTTAAAATTAGTTTTTAATTGCATGCAAATAATTAATTACAATAAATTAATAAAAAGTCTGGAAAAGGACACAGTCAATAAAGTTCAGTTTTAATTTGAAAAAATAAATAAATAATCAAAATATTCAATTAAAATCGCTACTGAATATAATTTATTAGAACATATGTGATTTGCACTTGTATGAAACTCAAACACGTATTCCGAATATACAAACTAGAAACATGTGGAGAAATATTATAAATATGAATACCTATAACTGTTACTTTATTACAAAAAATAAAGATGTGGTTTTTGGTTCTACTACACTAATGGTCAAGAGATGGCGCTGTAGTGTCCTGAATCGCGCTTTGGTTCCGTTGTTCCAGATTGATAAATACTTTTGATAGGCCTTCACAATGCAGTCGTTAGCACCCACTAAATAGAGATTCTATTTCTATTTTGTTGTTAGATTTTCTTAATGTGCGGTAAACACAAAAGTAACAGCATGAAGTTGGTCGCTAAAGCGACCAACTTCATGCTGTTAATATTTTGTGTTACAGTGATGCGCGCGTCTTACAATTTCACTCTCATCATTTTTTCATAACGCGCCTGTGCCGGATAGCGCACCTTTTATATCAGTATGTTTTGTCTATGAGTTTTTGATACTTTTTTTATTGAGTTTGTTATTCTTTGACATTAAAAGAGATTGTTTTACCTTGTCACTGCCACCACTGTTTTATTTTCTCTAATAATAATTAAAATACAGTCCTTAGCCTCCATATTGTGGTCCTTCGAGCCGGATAGAAATCGTAATAGGGCCAAAAATAATCTAACCCCACGAAGGAAAAAGGTCGTTTGTGGTGGGCCAACCTTGCTGGAGGTAAATTTCCCATGACAGGTCGGAAAGCTGAAGCCCGACGTATTCGGCAGGACTGGCATGCGCGTGCTACGGCTCGGACAGTGTTTCTGAGGCTCAGGATCCAGTATAATTGTCGTAGCTCATTGACGACTGTCTCATTATTTGCGTGGGCCGTCTTCCGATGGTAATGTAATACAAGAAGGCGGACAGCGTGATGTTTACCATCCAACATTATGGGAGACTTCATTTCTTCACTTACACCGGAGGCTGCCACAATTCGCGAGGATAAGCGGAGTAAGTGATCTTCATCGTAAGAACAAGGTAATTTTGAAAGGCGACTTCGAGGTGCAGAGGTCTGCCCATTTCTAATATTTCTTAGGTCTTCAGGAAATGAATCAATCTGACTTTGACGGAGAATATGTATTTCAGCAAATCTGAGGCCATCTGCTGTCAGAGTGCTCTGATCGCACTGATTCCGTGAAGTTGGTGTCGATGGAAATGGAACGAAGTCGAAAAAGGATTTGCTTACTCTACATGAATAGTCTACGCACAAACCTCTCTTTTTCAAAGCTCTAATGCGCAACAAGAATAAAAAGCGATGAGCTTGGGCCGTAGAACGGAGTAAACGGGTCCAAGAACTGAAGCGTGATGAGTCTGCGGTAAGTGGAACGGGACAATTTTCTTCTACAGTGAGATGAATATAAACTTTTGGAGTAGGCTTACTTTCTAAGATGGGACGGACTATCGCTGGCTCAATAGGCCAATCGGAAGTCAATAAAAATTCTGGACCTTTGACCCAGCGCGAATCCTTATCAAGGGCTCCCCGCTTGAGACGCGTTGCGTCATCAGCAACATTAAGATGTGTAGGAACCCATCGCCATTCACAGACATTGGTAAGTTCGATGATCTCACCGATCCTATGAGCTACGAATGGTTTGTAGCAGCGAGCGTCATTGCGGAGCCAACCCAAGACGTTCATAGAATCACACCAGAATAAGCGTCTTGTAAATTTATACCTAGTGCCCTCTACTATAGTACTAGCTAAACGAGCCGCTATTAAAGCCGCCTGAAGCTCTAGCCTAGGAATACTAGACGGCTTTAGAGGAGCTACACGTGATTTACTAGACACTAGTGAGAGTTGTATATGTCCGCTTGGGTATAAAAAACGATAGTATGCAACTGCTGTATAAGCCTGTTCACTGGCGTCTGCGAACAGATGCAACTCAATGGCTACAGGATCTATTAGCTGCATATTATAACAGCGTGGAATTTGCAGTTGTGAAGTAATTATTAAATCTTTGAACCTTTCATTCCACGCTGCTACTTCCGGTTGTGGAAGCACTGCGTCCCAGTTAAGGTTCATCCGCCAAACATTCTGGAACATGATACGCCCACGAATGACAACAGGAGCCAGAATGCCCAGGGGATCGAACACGCGCATTAATAACGATAAAACTTTTCTCTTAGTTAGTCGATCTGGTGAAGCCTGATCGTTATTTTTGGCGGGTGTGTTAAAACTAATGGTGTCCGTAATCGGTTGCCAAATCAAACCAAGTGCTCGAACAGGGGGCGATAAAGAGATAGGCGAAGAGTGTTCGCTATAGCAAATGTTTTTATCTTTAAATCGCTCCTCTACGAGCTCACGAGGTAACAATTTAAGAGCAGTAGGGTCATTTGACACCCAGCCTCTCATCTCCAAACCAGCACGTGCATGTATTTTGACTATGTCGGATGCAAGCTCTGCGGCAATATCCGCTGACTCGACAGATCCGATATAGTCATCCATGTAAACGTCACTAATTATGGCATGTGCTGCTTCGGGGAACTCCTCTTTAAATTCGAGGGCATTTTTATTTTTCATGTACATTGCCGTAAAAGGACTAGACACAGCGCCAAAGATCATAGAGGACATTCTATAAACACCTAAAGGGTCCTTGGGGCTATCTCTCCATAAAAAACGTTGCGCGTCCCTATCGTGCTCGATAATTTTGAATCTAGGGAACATCTCTTTGATATCCGCTGTCATAGCTACTCTTCCTTCCCGGAATCGAAGTAAAATATCAAAAAGAGGTTGTAACAAATCAGGTCCAGTAAGCAATAAATTATTAAGGCTAACGCCGTTGCTCTTGGCCGCAGCGTCATGAACAACACGCAGTTTGTTTGGTTTGTTGGGATTTGTCACGCCAAAATGTGGCAAATACCAACAAACTGAGTCCAAAGGTGGTTCCTGACTGCACTTTTCTGCATAACCTTTGGCCAGTGTGTCGTGGATATTTTGTTTATAACGCTCGGCATAAGCTGGATCTTTCATCATTTTCTTCTCAAGGCCAAGGAAACGTGAAAGAGCTAGAGCATAACTATTAGGCGCAACAGTATTTTTAGATTTCCACAAGAGACCGACTTCAAATCTGCCGTCAGGCAGGCGATTAGCCGTACGTTCTAAAATGCTAATAGCTCGTTCATCGTCTGCACTACGTGGCGCACGTTTAGTGATTCCTATCGAATCCAGACTATATTGATGTTTGATTAGCTCCTCTAAATTATTATCGTTCTCATTGTTACATAAATCAGAGACGCGAGAAGAGGTATGTGGCTCTATACACTTGCCTCACTGTTCGAGCCATACATTTAGAAATAGTGCATTCCCTGTCTACAGATGCTGCTATTATGTCTCTCAGAAGATTTATTGCGCGTCGTGGAACTCCGTCTGAAATTTACTCCGATAACGGTACTGCTTTCATCGGAGCAAATAGGCAACTGAAACAACTTTACGGCCAAGCGGTTTCCGATTACGCAACATCTGAAATAATTCGCTGGAAATTTATACCCCCTTCAGCACCCTTTATGGGAGGAGCTTGG